GCTTCAATTTTTTGTGATGTGTTATATAATAATTTTCCTTGAGAGCTTTTAATGTTCCATTTGATGATAAATTATTAAGATGACATGTTTAACTGTGAAGAAAAAAACCAAATAAATTGTAACTTGAGAAAATTTATCAACAGATTTCTTCTGTTATGTTTAATATGTACGTTTTTACTGGTTCGTCTAGTATTCTTCACTAACAGTTTGTCTAAGCCTCTTCTATAAGCTTTTTAACCATTTCTTTTTCTGCTTGCCAAGGGCAAAAATAGCCAGAAGAAGTGTGCCCAGTCATCCTCAATTCACAGATTTTTTTTAAAACCAAATCTGAGGGTTGTGACTGGCAGATCAGACTGCAGACAGAAATCAGCCCAGAAAGATTTTTAATTTTTTTATCTGTTTTGTTTGTTTTCCAACTAGTTTCCAAGCACTTGACAATGAAATACATTCAGAGACCAGAAAACTCAAAAGTAGAACAGCTACTTAGAGAACTGATCTGTTACAACTGACTAAGAAAATACTTTTTTGTTTTTGTCAGCTGTGCTTTAAAAAAGATACACAGAATCACTTAAGCTAAGAAGTACATAATACGAAGCACAGTCAGTAGGAGAGATTCTAGTTGTCTTCTGTTTTTCGCTTTGAGAGGTTAAGTCTGAAGAAGCTGGTAGTGTCTCAGCACATCACTGTCAAACAGCTGGTGCTGCCCTTGTTTTCTCAGCTTGTTAAAGAACTGTTAGCATTCATTACAGCTGACAAGGTTTTGAAGGAGAGCTGCCCACAGATGTTTTCTGAGGTGCACATTAGTCACTCGGAGTACTTCCACTTTCTTATCTCTCTGATCACCGATAGGTGTACTGTACGTATCCAAACGTCTTTAAAAGTCATCCAAAAGTCCCCAGCTGGTGTAGCGATGTTGTGAATAAGGACCGCCATACATTGGCTTCAGCAATGAAGAATTTGAATCTAATTGTTCCTTTGTTAGCTTATCTGCATAAAAAGCAATTTAAAATTACTTCCTTTTGACCACACGCATAAGGGTATCAACTCTGCACAACATAAAGCCCTGAGCAGAAGTCAGGACATCTCAGTGCACTGTAGCTTCCACCAGTTCTTGTGGAATCTTGCTTTTAGTAGCTGCTCTTAAATATCGCCAGTTATTATACTGAAGCCTGCCATGCCGTTGCTGTTGGCATGGCTTGAATTTACATGTGAATACTTTTTGGATACGCACACAATGTTGTTCCTTAGCATAGATTTATAGGAGACTTTTTCCTTGTTTTAAAATTTCAGAAGGGAAAGTCTTTTTCAGGCAGGACCTTTAAGACAAATTTGCTGTGCAAATATACGCACACTAAATCAGGAGGTTTGCAGTCCTGCAGGATGAGAGGATGAGATTGGAAACTGAAGTACTAGACAAACAGCTACGTGGCAGCTGTATACAGTAGTATCCGGGCTGGGTCATACGCTGAAACTGAATCAACAAGGTCTGAATGTTGGGAGAAAGCAAATATGGCATGGGCTGTGTAAACACATACTGTGCATAGGTTTGCTTTAGGAAAATTCCTTCATTGTGCTTGCTAATGCTCAGGCTTTGGGAAGCAGAAATATTCCAAAGCTGAAGATAGCACATTTGGTCCTCAGAGAAATATTTGCCTCATGAATGATCAGATATCTAGAAACCAAAACTGGGAAATGGTAGAAAAAATTGGAGTTTTTAAGGGAGGAGCTAGCGGAGGCTCAGTATCAGTCATCCTCTCTGTAAGAGGTTCCTGCAAGGCAGAGGCTAAACTGTTCTTTCTCTGCTGGAGACAGGAAAAAGTAATGTGCATAAAACTGAGCAAGAGATAGTTGTATAGCACCTTGGCAGTGCTAATGATAGAGCCAGCGAGGTGTCATGAATAGATTGCCCAAGGACATGAGATTGTTATGGGATTTGCTATTGCTCATGTTTTTGAAGAGGGACAGATAAGTGTCAAAAAAGGTTTAGTTGCAATTGCTCTTTCTAGTGGGGAGAATGGGGTGAACTCCTTCATACCATTTCTTAAAAGTAAAGTCTTACTGCCTAAAGACATCTACACTTAGTAGCAACCGCTCCTGATGCACTTCAGCCAGCTCCGGTCAAGGTTTTACCTTCCTTTGACAACATTTGGTGTCTTGTCCTAAATAAATATCTCTGACTCTTACACTGTTCTCTGCATCTTAAGAGTACATCTACCTAGAGGATATCATGCCTTTCACATATCTCCGGGGTAAGGAAAAACCTCCATGCCTTGTTTGAGTTACTCTTGAACTCATGGAAGGCAGCTTTCATCCAAAGAAAGTGAACTTCCTATTTTTAAATTACTTCAATTATTTTTTAACTTTATAATTAAAACAAGCCTATAAATGAAGACCTTTTCTCCTGACTAATGTCTTTTAATTGTGTGACATGAGGCTTTGAATTGCCAGCTTTTCAGAGAGCTATGAAATGTGTATGAATAGACAAGAGCCAGGGAGTCTACGCTTCTGACGAAAGATTATGGTTTACAAGACACTCACACTCTGCATGAAAGTACATACATTCCCTGTGGAGCCTGACTCTGAAACTGAAATTAAAACTCTGCATGAGTTAGGAGAATTTGGTATGACTCGAATTTCTTGTAATTCACTGCTATGATGTTACTCTTAAAACTTCTGCAGTAGAGGAACTACTCAGTAAGATATGTATTGAAAGA